TATGATCGTTCTCTCCATTTTACCTCTCTGAACCCTCCTGGAATTTGGCATTTACACAATATACTCACATCCAAAATATCTTGGTTACATGACATGTAAAATAGTACACTATATTACATCACTATTTAAATATATTTAAAAGACGGTGAAAAAACTATTCTAAGCATTATTATATTTTCAGTAAACAGCAATAATTAAAGCATTCGACTTTCATCATCACATCATTGCTACATTATATTACAGTATTGTTTTATACCTCTGCATCTCTTCTGTCTTCATAGTCAACAAAGCCATAAGCTGCAAAAAATGAATCTGTAATACAGTACATAGTCACACTTCACATGCTTTATCCATTTTTTTTCTCTCTCAAGATTTTTAGCATATTTGAAATATTTATACTACTGTATTTTGAAGGAAAGGCAATTTGAGACACACTTGCTGGCAGAAGTTTTCTGACAATGCCTGCATGGGCAAAGAGAAAACGGCTATTTCTATTTCTCAGTATAAACAATGCACAAAAGACTTCTTTTTATAAGTGTTTTTGTTCAAACTTTTAAGATTTTGTAATTACCATAAAAAACTTTACATATAAAAGGATACTTATCTTGCTTCAATAGAAATTTCAGCAAGATAATATGTTTAAAAACTTTCCTTCTTAGGCTGTTATCAAAACCATACCGCAATAAAAAAAGGTCATTAAACAATGCAATTTGAAGAGGAAGCCAGAAGTTTAAAAGTAAATATTTACATTTGCTGATGTCTTTCCTTATATAACAAAGCTAATAAAATGGATATTCAATTTCCAATGATATGCAGTTGGTCACATGATCAGACTTTCTTGAGTATGGAAAGCAAACTGCACAAGCCATTTGGAAAGTTCCGATTGTGCATCAAATGACATCGTAAAAACATTATGTTGCTATTTCAAAGTCCACAAAGTCTTTTAACAAACTCAAAAAAAAAAAAAAAAAAAAACGTTTTAATGCTTTATATTTCTTAACCAGGTGTAACACGTAGAAACCCAACACTAAAAACAAAATGTGAGGAAAATGTTTAATGTAACAAAAATGATTCTTTTAAAATCCTTTAAATTCAAGGTAAATGATGATTAGCAATTCGGTTGACATATGTTGCACCCCAAATAAAGCTACAATTAACATTTCTGTACAAATTGAATCAGCTGATTCATCGAACAAACACAGATATGGCAGGAAAAAAATCATGACTAACTGTCGTAAAAGCCCTTGAGTTTATTCCTTCATACACACAGATTCAATCCTTTTGACAATCTCACAAATAAACTAAAATTCCGGAGAATTCAATTTTTTTTTACTGGTCCCTCTGACCGATTACATGAAGAAAATTACCGGACTTTTGAAATATTTACCAGTTTTGCCGGTGGGACCGGTGGATTTCAAAAACTCTGTATGTTGCTATTTGTTGCAAAGTCAGTATAAATAATGCTTATATTTCTTGGTAACACAACTAAAAACATAAAATATAAATATAAGAAGTAAAATATCTTTTTTAGAATTTCATTGGGTATGACATGAAGTTGGTACGTGATCAAATCTACTGTAACGCCCTTCAGGCGTTATAGAATTTGAACGTGACCAACTTCATGTGATACCCCAATGAAACTCTAAAAATGATATTTTATTTCTTAAATAATATCCAGTATTAAATAAATCAAACCTCGTTATTGTTTTAAACTTGATGAGGAAGAGAAAGAAAATACCAAGTAGATCTCATTTTAAAAATGCCTTACCCATTTCAGCACCTACAAAAGAAAGTTTAATTCAATTAAATTCATTTAATACTCATATAATACCTTTCCCATGTCAACCCATAAAATAAAAACAAGTTTGAAAAGTAATAAATTAAATAAGACATAATTTTCTTATTCATTTCATGAACAAAACAAAATGGCTGACAAAACAACTGAAAGCATGCGTGCCCTTTAATTTAAAGATATAATGTTCTAGACTGGATCTGTGCATACCATATTTTACATCACATCTTGCTAACCGTCCGTATGGTTCAAAAACGTCCTCTAAATGCCGAGGTTGGGTATTTTTACTGAGTCTTCCAATAAACAAACTGCCTTCTCCTCTGCGCGACATTTTGAGTTTGAACTGTTATTTTCGAATCCAAACAGAAAAGTTTTCTTCGGATATTTATGAACGGATGCGTCGATTTACCCAAAAGGACCCAAATGGAGCCTAAATGGACAAATGAAAATCAAATTGACCCAAATGGAATATTTAATGTATCATTTATCGTATTCTCATGTTGTAACTTATTTAAAATATTGAAAAAAAGAACTTAAAAAACTTTTTAAAATGTGATTTTTTTTCTATTTGTAATAACTTTTACAATCTTTGAATACAAAAATTTAAGTGCATAGTACCCATGGCCGTAAGAACCGAACGGGGTTGGTGGGCACAAGAGGCCATGCCCCCCTCCCCGTAATTTTGCCGAAATTGGAATAAAATCAAAAATAACTCGTACGTATCTCGAAATACATATTAGATATGAATAATTAATAAACTCCATTTGTAAGTTCACTTTTTCATCATTATAAATGAGTAACAATACATATTTAATATTCCATTTGGTTTCCATTTGGACCTAAATGATTTCCATTTGGGTCCATTTAGGTTTCCATTTAGGTTCTTATATTTGTATTAGATTTGTCGTCCTACATTTGAACACTTTTTCTTACAGGGACCTAATATACTACGTATAGGTTGATCCCTGGTTCGAACAACAATTTTAAACCCACTTTTTTTTGTTAAGATGGGCATAATAATGATATTCAACGTTAGTCCCCAAATTTTTGTAAGGGGACGGGTTGGGTAGACCCCCTAGCTTTCACTCCGACGGAAAAAAGTCCTTAGCCTGGTTAGTACGACTTAATAAAATCGTCACAATTACGAGATAAAAAGTCGTTGTTATACTTATTTTATTTATTTATTTTTTTTATTTTCCTCATTTGACTCTTCGAGGCTTTTCGTGCGAAATACACCTTTTTACTAAATGAACAAGATGTGTTGATCGACGTGTTTGTGAAACACTGATGCCCCCACCCCCACCCCACCCCCTGTATAGGAACATAACGAAGATTAAACTTTCTCAAATGCAAATCAAATACATGTACTTTGGTACCAAAAAGCCTTCTCGTTCACAAAAAATACACAATTGTTAAATATCTGAAAGCCCTAGCACCACCTGTTCAGAAGTTATGGCCAGAGTTTAAGTTTTTAAAAAGTAGGTCAAAATTCTAGGTCAAGGTCAAAGGGTCAAAGGGTCAAAGTTGTTTCTAAACCTTTCTAAAGAAAGGTCTTGTCACAAGGATTACATACATGTAATTTAAAGTGTGAAACCCCTAGCTTTAACCGTTCTAGCTGCAATAATGTAGCCCTCTCCGATTTTTTTTTTTTTTTTTTTGGGAGAGGGCTAAAACTTCAAAGTTATAATGGCGCAGATGCGGCAGTGGATCACTCCCGCACGGAAAGGTCTCAAATTATCAGTAAACGGCTATTTTATTATCATCTCTTACTGGAATATATGTAATTATGCAAAACATAAATATCCAAAAATATTCACAACGATCCATATATCGGTTATTTTTCGTGTGTGTCAACAGCTTAACTTGAATTTATCCGCCATGTTTACTGACCTTGATGGATTTATTTTGGGACAGCCAAAGAATTTAGGTTCTATAAATCTACTAGGATTTCCCTTATTTTAAAGGTTAAAGCTGTTTGCGCAAAAATAAAACTTGAAATGTTTTATTTATCGATGTTTTTGTAATATATTATAGCACAGTCGTTTATAAACATCGACATTTGCTTTATTTGGTTGTTCCAAATTTCAAGCGAAAGTCTCACTACGTCACGCGTGAACTGTCATGGCTGCTGAATATTGCAGCTGGGAAAGACACAGATTTATTTTACATGGTTTTCGAGTTTAACAGGCTATGTTGTTGACAGTGAATAAAAATTTTTATAAGAAGTAAGTTTAATGTAAAAATAATTTATTTTGCCTCCAATCACCCGTATCAAAAAAATATATTTGCACCATTACGGAGATGCGATGGAATTGTAGCCCTCTCCAGAAAATATCAGATAAAAAAAATCGGAGAGGGCTACATTATTGCAGCTATAACCGTTCAAAAATTATGGCCAAGATTTGAGGGGTTTTTTTAAAGTAAGTCAAACTCCTAGTTCAAAGTTAAAGGGTCAAAGTTGTTGGTATCCTAGGTAAGGTCTTTTCACAAGGATTACATATGTAAACTATGAATTCCATAGCCCTTACCGCTAAACAGTTATGACCAACGTTAAAGTTTTTTAAAAAGTAGTTAAATCTGCCGAGGTCAAGGTTAAAGTTGTTGGAATCCAATGAAAGGTCTTGCCACACAGGATACATACATGTATGAGAAGTATGGAAGCCCTAGCACCAACCGTTTTTAAAGGTTATGGTCTTATGGCCAAAGTAAAACTGTGGTATTTTTTAGTAAAAGAAGATCAAACTCCAAGGTCAAGAGGTCAAATTTGGTGGTACCAAAAGAAAGGTCTTGTCATAAGGAATATATCTGTGAAATATGAAAGCCATAGCCTCACCATACATTCAAAATTAAGTTATGGGAAGGTTAAAGTTTTTGCGGACCAACAGTCAGCTAGACAGATGGACGGACAAAGCAAAAACTTCGTTTACCATTGTTTACGGGGGCAAAATAATATCAAAAGTGATAGTAATAAATTTTATTCGTGGTTCTGACAATCACTGATTTCCGTATTTATCCGATTATAAGATTATTTTCTACACCTAGAGAAAATGGGATTTTTTTTAAATTTATTTGTTTATATTATCAATAATTCAAAAAGTAATAACAGCTTATGCAATATTATAAATAATGTTAGACATCAACAAAGTATGACACCGGGTCCGTGTTTTCAATATCTTCGTCCGAAAGTAATCTTATAGCTTTACCTACTATTTATCTAAGCATGCGCAGAAATTGTGTACACGTTTGACAGATAACATCATTCGATCATCTTCTACATCTTCTTCGAAATGGGTAAATATCAAATTTTCTGTATATTTATACAAACAACAGAGAATCTTACTATACATATCATGATATTTAACCAAACATATTTGATTTATTTATGCTGTGTCCATAATGTTAGCTACTGTGCGACCCGAATTATCTCTTGGAAGACACGGGCACTGGAAGTTAAATATAGGCATACAGTACATGTATAATAAAGAAAGATGGTTGATTTCCCAAATGCTTGAAAGTAGAGAATACACTTATCGTGCACAGAAATCTTGCGCGGTATATTGCACAATATTTCCATTACGGGATCTGTATAGCACTAGGGTCAAAGAGCTAAAATTTCTGCAGCTATTCCCCCCCCCCCCCCCAACTTAAATTGCTTCTTATGTATGCCGGTGCAATTTATCCACTAATTCAAAGTGAAGTTATTTTTTGTTGAACTTTTTGTTGTTATTCTTGTGAAAATGTAGCTCAAACAAGCAATGTATTCACGGTCCAGAAGTTACTTTTACTGGGAAAAAATCATTTGTTTCAATATGGAAGTCTATATTTTCTCTTTGCCCAGGCATTGTCTGTAGAGCTTGCATTGCGAGAAGGGATGAAACGATTCACTGAAATATTGATACTGTTCAATATTATTGCACGGTTAAATATTTGATTTTCAGTTCGATGCATTTTTAAAAAAATAAAGCTTGCATGTTACTCCTTGAAATAGATTGGGTTAATCTCAATTTAATAGTTTGACACTCATTAGAGAGAAAATGGCAATGGTTAATAAGCTTCAGAGCAGGCTGCCATTGCTAGTATTGACATGAAGTTGTATAATCAGATCATTTGCAATAACACTTTCCAGATTTTCACCTTTCATTATAATTGGACATCTAAAAAGTCTAGTAAAAAGACAATTTCAATAAGTATATGACTACTCTCTGTGGTGGTCCAGCTGGTCCTTTGTTCATTTTGTAGAGTCCATACCTGGGAATGTGCTTTGTTAACTGATTAGGAAAACAATTGTCTGTTTATCTGCACAATTACGATACACAAATAAGTTAATAGCGAAGCAGTGGCTGAAAAATTTGGCTTAAAACTATAACGCTTGTAAAATAAAATAATAATTAACAGATTGATGAATCAGAATTAAAAATTTGTAATCATATAGCATTATGGTTTTATATATTAGTCTCTGACCATCACACTACAGATCCTGTAAAGCAAAGATTTTTTGCACACTACTGGGGAGAATTTCTCCACTTTTCAGCATTGGTCAATCAACTACCTTTAACTCGATCCCTATTTCTAGATATATTATTTAACGAATCTGTATCTTTTATCCACCTCCCAACCCCTTATATTTGTCTCTACAAGTGATAAACTTGCTTGATTTGAATATTCTGCAACCCAACAGACAGTTGTAATCAAGCTAGTTTATCCCCATGTAGAGACAACTATAAAGAGCTGGGAAGTAATTAGAATATACAGATTCAGTGGTTAGAGAAAATGTCCAGAACTAGGGAGCAAAAGGTAGTTGATTGACCTATGCTGGAAAGTGGAGAAATTCTCTCAACCGAGCGCAGGAATTCTTACGCCGAAAATTGCACCTTTTTTGCATTCCAGGATCTGTAGCATTATGGTCAAAGACTAATATATAAATCCATGACGCTACAGTTCTGCAGCTAGGATTATGCAAAAAATATTCTGATTTTCGATTATGATGATTTGAACACCACTAAACAGTCTGACTATGTACGAGGGGTGATCAAAAAGTTCGCGAACCATCTCTATATTTACAAAACCACAATTCAGATCAGAATGAAATTTGGCACACATAGAGTCATACACATGTTCTATGAATAACATACTAGAATGTAATGAAACGGTTTGTCCCATGTTTGTGACGTCACAGTGTAAAAATGACGTTGTAAGGTAGGTCGCTCATGACAAAAAATGGTTGACTCAGTCGTATTCAAGAAACGAATGGCTGTGAAGTTAAACGTATATCTTGAAAATTCCTTTGTAGAAGTTTATAATAATTTGTATACGGTTTACGAAGACAAAAGACTGTCATTAATTGGGTTGATTGTTTAAGTGAAGGTAGGGAGATGTTTAAAAATTATGTTTGTTCTGTTGCCCAGTGAAAGCAAACTGGGAGAGAGACATGTCTTTTGTTAAGCAATTTGATATGAAAGATCGCCAACTTACAGTTAGAAAAATAGATGAATATCTTTACAATAATATAATTATCAAATCCCTAAAATATCGTTTACTTTAGACTTTAAACATATCAGATATGATAAAGTGAAGGCACCCATACTTTATCCACATGAAATAAACGACACTAAAAAGATAGAGGACTTGGGTTTTGATGGTCACCTGTAATGCTTATTCTGCAAAAGGATATCATTATCCATCCATACTATTGTGGAGATTAGGCCATTTCTGACAAATAGACTGATTTTGCTGCAAAAAAATGACTTGCATGGTAAGAAATATAAGTGTCTGAAAAAATTTCAAGCCTCTGTGACAGAATGCCAAGGAGCATGTCACGTGATCCGCGCATGGGCAAAATGGTTGCAGATGCACGTTAAAATTGGAGAGGACTACTTTGAAAAATTTTCAACACTGAATGATGAATCCCTATATCATTTCTTTATTGGAAGTTATTCAATTAGTTCGCGAACTTTTTGATCACCCCTCTTATAATTGTAAAACTAGAGGTACTGTGAGCAATGAGCTCACTAAATGATACCCCCCGCCTCCCATATGAATATAATGGGGGTGTCTATGTTTTGCTGTGGGAAACCCAAAATATGTGTCGGATCAAAAAGTAAAATAGGAGGTGCACAATGGCAATATGTAATAAAGATTCTCTGAAAGTTTCATCAAATTTCATTCAGCGGTATGAGAGGAGTTGTGGATAAGAGATGGGTACCCCAAAGCGTAACAGACCGACGGACAGACAGACAGACGGACGTACAGACGGACGGACGGACATACCGATTACTATATACCCTCCCGCTTTTCAAGTGGGGGTATAAAAAACACCTACTTGAAAACACAAAACAATTAGAGAATGAAAATTACTAACTGGTTTATACATTAACAGGTGGTATATGGAGTTACTTTTCTGGACTATTTGGATCAAGGGAAAGGAGAATTTTGATTTTGGGGTTAGATGGTGCAGGAAAAACAACTATTCTATACAAATTACAAGTTGGAGAAGTTGTCACAACAATTCCAAGTAAGTTGAAATCATATTGAATTCTTTTTTTTTTTTTTTTTTTTGCAATTATAAACTTTGATAAATACATTGTATATATTAAATTTCCACCTTCACCATTTACAATGTAAATATGTTTTATTAGCATAAATTTTCTAGGATTTGTTGATTTTTCAAGTAATCAATTAAATTAAGCTTGTTCATAGCTATAAATATGAAAAATGTATGCACAAAATACCTTCTAATACTCAAGATACTGTTTGTTTCTAAATTTAGCTATTGGGTTTAATGTGGAGACTGTGCAGTACAAGAACTTGAAATTCCAGGTCTGGGATCTGGGAGGACAAACAAGTATTAGGTAATTAATTAGTTAATTAGGCAAATACAGGCACATATTACAGGAAAATGAACCTGTAGCACTAATATTATGTAGATCAAATTAGCTTAAATATTATCAACTGTGTTTCTTAATCCAAACTTGTGTAAGCAGAATTCATTCTCAGGTGTTCTTAATTCTTCAATCAATGAAAGGCAGATGCCTTCTCTAATCCCTATACATGTAGCTGATTGATATGGGGAAAAAAAGAATTGAAATTTTTCAGTAAGAAATATTTTCTCACTTAAGCATTTTAAGAATTATTAAAAAAAATCAAAGTTCTTCCCTCAATACTGTATATCACAATATATCACACTGTATATCACAATATATCACAATGAAACACATTTTAACATTTAGACTCTAGACATTGGTGTGCTCTTGACTGTTTCTCGACAGAGTTTTATTCAGTTTGAGCTAAAGTCTTCTTAGTTTCTTAGAGCCTTGTACAGTTACATTAAAAGGACACTAAATGGGACTATTGGGTTAATTTTTATAAAGCAGTATAGACTTAACATGATTCAAATACTGAACAAATGACACTGGTCAAAGAGGAAATTGTAGTGTGATTATTTGCAAGGAGGAACAGTGCAACAAAATCAAATTAATAGCTTATGACTTTACTTTTGCTTTAAATTTTGAATATGCCAAGATGAACACACATTTTACTATACAGCATCATGAATATGATGAGTACAAATGTTTAATTTTGCTAGTAAAGTCAGGATTTGATACTTTCATCAGAATTTGTTTTAGTTTTGAGTTGTCTTTCCTGTTTCATATTTACCTTCTCTATTGTCCGTTTCAGGCCATACTGGAGATGTTATTATTCCAATACAGATGCTATCATATATGTAGTAGACAGCATGGACAGAGAAAGAATGGGAATTTCCAAACAAGAATTATTTTCTATGTTAGAGGTGAGATTCATCTCCAATATTTCACTACTGTCAAAATCAAGGAAATGAAATAAAGACAAGTGAATATATATTGTGAAAAATTATCTAGGTGCATTAGATATATTCAGAATATATACTTTTTGAAGAATAAAACAGGAACAAAATTATATGCAACATATAGCATAGGGATCTGGATGAGTATTGCCAAAAATTTCATATTGCAATATATCACGATTTTTGTCCCAAGATATCACGATTATCATAATATAATTCATATTTTTACAAGCAATTTTTACAATGATTTTAAATGAATATTCATTATTTTCCCTAAAAATATGCTAGAAAAACAAAAAATTTCACTTTTTTGAAATTTTTATTTACATAATAAATATTGTATTTGGCATGTTTGGATGCTAAGATGCTGTTCTTTTTACCTTATTCAACATTCTGTAGACTTTCTGTAATTGTAGTTTCAAAGACTGAACAAAAGAATAAATAATTTCTGGACTTTATAATATGTACCTAAATACCGGTATTTAAATCTCGGTATCACGATAAGTATCACGCAGTAAAAAATCGTGATATATCGGGAAACTGATAAAATCTCACATCCCTTGTATAGCAGTTATTTCATGCAGGTCTATCATGGCAAACATGCGATTTTTTTTCTTTTAATTATGATAATTGATGAAATATTTTGGAGCTACAGTATTTCCTCTTTAATATTTATTTTTCTCACTGTCTTTACAGGAAGATGAATTAAAGAAAGCTGTTTTAGTGATATTTGCTAACAAACAAGACATTGAAGGAGCCATGACCCCCAGTGAGGTCGCTAGTGCTCTAGGCCTGACTTCCATTACTACACATAAATACCAGATCTTCAAGACGTCAGCCATTAAAGGCACGGGGCTAGATGAGGCTATGGAATGGTAGGTGAACACTAGAACACTGCTAGCCCTAATTGTAGATAATAGTACAGTGGAGCCTCATTTATCCGGACGCTTTGGTTCCCAGTCAATTTGTCCGGATATGTGAAGCGTCCGGATACCTGAATCACCAGTTAAATAAGACATAATAACATTTTGAAATTCTGTTCTGATGAAAAAGCGTCCGGATACTGAAGCATCCGGATATCTGGCGTCCGGATATCTGAAGGTCCACTGTAATCTTTTTCTAAGTTTTAAAAACTTGTAACCAATCCTTTTGTATTAATTATACAATGAAGTACATGTATGTTCAAAACAATAGTAATATATAGTTCAACTTCTTTATCTTTAACACTGATATCTCAAAAACTAGGATATGTTATTGTAATTTGAAAGTCCCACCCACTTATCTTAAGGTATTTTACCCTGGATATCTTGGGGTCTTTTCTTGGTTGATTGAAGATATACTATGTTGTGATTCATCATCAAATAGAATTTTTAATTTTTCATTGTTTTCATGAATCATGTAACTACTGGGTAGATGATGAGCAAAATAATCTTTTTAAATTGTGACAGAAAAGTAGCTGTCTTTTTTAAATTTGCTAATAAATTTGACCCCCCCCCCCTGTGTGGAAAAAAAACCCTCAGAAATTAAACATTTGTAAACTTTAATAAATTAAGCTGTTTTCAAATTTAGTTTGCACTTTGAAAATGTGCTATTACGAAAAAAAAGATTCTTAAATTAGTATTTTACTTAAAATAGATTATGTTATTGACTGAAATTACACTAAAACAAGGAAGAGCATTATGGGATTTAACGTATAGATGGGAAACTATTATGATCTCTTTAAACACAATATTTTATTAATAACTGATTACAGAATGACTGTCACAGACAGCAAATTCTAGATGATGAATGTTTATAATGTCCCCTAAACAGAACTCCAGTCAGCCTGTAAATTACCCAGTAGATCTCCACAACGAGACAGGTCGATTTCTGAGGGAGATGACTTCCTCGTTATGGGGGGTCACTAGCCTCAGTGAATGCTGTATAAAGGAGTGGTCACTCCAGGAAATAGCACATGGCCTGTGATTGGTCCCCAATATTGGTTACTCATTGATTTCAGGGCAATAAAACTGTTCACTGGAAAAATGCTCAATTTGTCTCTCATTAGTGCACACAAGTGGCTTTTGATACAGCCAATTTAAGGATGCACAAGCATTTTTAGAATAAGTCTAGCATGTATGATTGATAGATTAAATAATACTAACTTGTATATTATTTGCTATTGGAAATAAATCCATGGCATTTTAGAATGTTTTCTTATCTCTGCAAGCAGCAGATTTTGTTAAGATTTGATGATAATAGACTGATACTGCTGATTATCTGTTGAGTAGCAAATGTAAACTAATAAATTGTGATTGTTATGGCTCAATATGGAAATACAGTTGGGTGGATATAAGTAATAGACATGCAAGCACACATTAAACAATTTTTTTAAGGGTTACTTCATGACAATATACAAAAAGATTCATTTGTCAGTGATATCCATCACATATTTTGTTCACATATTTTGTTGTGTTTTTGGAGGCACACTTCTATTTATTGGTGACACGCTTCTTATTTCTGAGAATTTAATAAGGAGGTACTGGCTTTTTGCAAAAGTTGCTATTTCTCAAAAATAAGGTGAAACAAAAATTTGATTTTTTGACTTACAAAGGAATACCTTTTTGTTTGTTCAATAAATATATTTTTTTAAATCTCTTGATTGTCATCAGGGTATGGTAGATTTTGAATTAGATGTGAACGTCACATTAAGGCTCAAGGTCACATCAGTCAAAATACACATGGCTTTATTTTCTGTTTCAGATCTGTAGTTTACATATATTTAGCCGCGCGCACTTTTTGATGTGGAAAGAAAAATTATACAATATTTTTAAAAAAACAAAAAACTATCATCTGTATTTTTTTTACAGGCTTGCGAATACTCTAACTCAGCAGAAATAAAACTGAAGAATTCCCAGGATGAAGAAGTCCTCCAGAAAATTGACTGCACTTGTAACGTGAACAACAAACATTGCAGCAACACACCAGGGAGATCACTTCTTGAAATTTAGATTTTTCTCTTTTCTCTCTGTGCTCTCTATAGACTCTGTATTCAATTCAGATTTTATATTTGTGTGCTGTGTACTGTGAAATGACAATATAGTTGGATGACATCGATTCAAAGACCAAGCAGCACCAAGCTCAAGTGTTCAGTGATGACCATTCCATGTTGCTGCAAGATGTGAGGGGGATAAACATTACATTGTGAAATACATGTATATTTTATGTTACATTTTTCATATTTATTTGTGTGAATGTTGAGTGAACGGAAATGAATGGATGTTGAATGAATGGAAATGCATTATTGTCGTATTTTTTTCCAATAAATTTACACTTAGAATAATTAAAAACTTGTGCATATCATTCTTCAGATTGTTTTTACTTAATGTTATATTCAAATATTATTTTTATGAAACAGGTGTGTAAAAGTCAAATATGTACAGTGTACAGTTGAATCTTACACATGGATACCTTGAATACTGGGGATATGATAAAGTGATTTGAAATTGCAACCAATTAAATTTTGAGTATTTAACTCATGATTTGTTGATCCTCTGATATCTCAAAATTTTTATCTCAGTTTCGTTAAATTTGAAATAAAAAGGTTTGACTGTATATACATGTATAAATTAAATGTGGAAAGATGGCTATAAAGAAGGAGGACTGAAATACATTTCCATCAAAAAGAATTTGATCAATAATCTTTATATCACTTTCTGCATTGCGCAAATGATCATGCACATATATGTCATGTTTGAAACAGGATTGGAAAAAAAACCTCTGAGCTTGAGAAAAGGCTGTATTAAAATTCTGTCATTTACACGAAAAAGGATTGAATTGGATTCTTGGATCTGATGGCTTTAAAAACAACAAAGTGCCACCTCTTTAAACTGTAGTATTTTAAAGTGCGTTTTTCAAAACATTCTAGATGTCATTTTGGACATGTTTTAGAATTTACAGTTAACAGTTTAGGAATTTCATTATCCTTTTAGTTTTATTTATACAAGTCTTGATAATAAGTTTGCCAGGAAATGCATGCGTTTTTCCATACAGACGAATTCAATTAACTTGGATGGCTTCTTCAGTTGTCGGAAATTTAACAGTAAATTAAAGTTGCAGTGCCTTTTCCTGTGTTACGATGTTCGATCAATGTTAATAAGGTTTCCTCAGTTTTCTTTGTACATGCAAGGCAGGATACGTATAGCAGTATAAAGGGCCGATAAATTGACATAATCGTCCGAACTATTTTTGACCATAATAAATATGGTCTTGAAACGACATTTATTATCTCTTTTTGAGATTCATTAGATCTTTCAAGTATTTTGTTAATAGAGCCCCGACTAACATCAGCATCTCTAATTCACAATTTTAACAAAGACACCCTTGTTCATCAAAACTATGCACTTAGGTGTTTGCTAAAACCCACGAGCGGAGAAGAATATTTTCAAAGAAATAATGTATTTTCATCTATAGTCAAAGCAACCCAAAACGTACTCCATCATTAACCCCAGACTCAGGGGCCAGGGGCCCGTTTTACAAAAGAACTTACGACTAAGACCAAAAACTTCAGATTATTGTAAAATTTTGCAAAATTAATCATTCTCTTTGAAATTGCTCATGTAAATATATCTAACCACATTCCTTTTAAACAGTTTAAAATACTTTTCGATATAATGTTAATTAAAAAGTTACACGAAGAATGAAATTTGGTCTTAAGTCGTAAGTTCTTTTGTAAAACGGGCTCCAGGTTATTAATGCTAAAATTTTAAAACTCAGGAGCAGAAAAAAATTGAATTATTCATGCATTTTCACTATATGACCAATAGAATCCCCACCCTAACGCTAGGATCCCTGACACTGAGTCCATAAATTTTACAAATTTGATAGCTACATATGTATATATAGATCGAGAACCCCATGCTTATTACATGTACAAACGTCGATATTTTGCTTCATGTCCATAATTAAAGAAGATTTTAAAAGATCGCGATAAATTTGATAGGTTTTGCTGTTGGTGCAAGTCTGTATAATGGAAAATGGGTGTACAATAACCCTAAAAATTGGTTTTTGAAAATAACGAATAGATCGATCAAGCATTCAAGCTTCTTTCTGCATAATGGTAAAAAAGACTTAAAAATGAGTATGAAATTAATCTTTAATGAGCTTTGAAAATTGATAAATATCTCAGAGCGGGGGGATTGTCCTTGCCTTGTACACCCCTAATCTTTACATATTGTGTTAATTTTGTGCCACAAAGTAGATTCAAAATTAACAAATTGAATATAATAAAATTCGAAAGGAAGTCGGTATATCAACAATACAAAAAATGAAAAATGTCCATGTAATTTATGAAAATTTTTGAATTTTGAATAACTATGCAAAATTAAAGTTAAAGAGAAGTCAAACCCAAAGGAGAATTCTAGGTTTTAGTTAAAAGAAATCTTGGTGTATATATATAAAGCATAGTATAACGCAGTTGATGTTTACGAATTGTTTTGAACATATTTTATTGAACGAGTCAAATGGATTGGAAACAAGTTCTTGCAACTTACAAGTTCCTCTCCATAAATATAACAATATGTCATGCAAAAAATACATTTAAATATAATAATTATAATATTTTCAAGTGATGCAATTAAATTACAAATCAATTTAAAATCTACATGTTTCAGTAATAAATCTATGGACAGCAGCAAAAATATTAATATTAATTGATACAGGCAAATCTCTGTCACCCCATAATAGTAAATTAGTGTCAATTGTAACCAATTCTTCAAGCATGAACAGGTGGTTAAAAAGATTGTTTCTAGCATTTGCATACTTTGTACAAGCAAAAAAATAATGATAAACATCTTCGTACTTTCCACAGGAACAAAGAGGACTGTTTATAATATTGCGTTTATATAGATCATAATTAAGTAAACAGTTGTGTCTTAGTTTAGTATGAATTATGTTTGTGTAGCGTTTACCAAAAGAGAAATATGTTGGCGGATTGATGATTTTTGTACAAGCTCTTAAGTTTTTACGGAAGGAATTAATTGAGATGGCTTCTCTTGTCTCTAATTTCAATAAATTCCATTGCTTCACGGCGTCTGGCACAAATGACTTTTTGAATAGATCTAATCTACATCTTGGAATAATGAATTGATCTTTATTTCGGGTATTGTATTTTGATACATTTCCATGCTTGTTTGGTACAATATTATTTAAATATTCAGGGACAGTCCCTTTATGTATTTTGAACATAGTAGACATTTTTGCAACATAACGCCTAAATTTTAAAGTTTCCCAACCAGTTTCTAAATAAAGTGTTTCTGTAGATGCAAAAATAGGAAGTCCGGTGACAATTCTAGCCGCAGCTAGTTGTACTTTTTCCAGCTTTTCAGAATCTTGTTCAGAGCACCCATCCCATACAACAGAAGCGTATTCGAGCATTGGTCTAATAAATGTAGTGTACAATTTTGAAAGGTTATTTCTACTCAATTTAAACTTAAGTTTTTTCAAAAGCCCAAGTTTTTTATATGCATTGTTTACAATACCGTCAATATATGCAGACCAGCTGAGATTCTGTGACAATAATAAACCCAAGTGTCTATGGACTGGTACGCATTCTAGCCTATCTCCTTTAAAAAATAATTTTGGCATAATAGAAATGGCCTTTGTGTTAAAGAAGACTACCTTTGTTTTAGATGGGTTAAATTTTAGAAGCCATTTATCTGACCATGATTCTAAAATGTATAAATCGTGGTTTAGCTTGTATTCAATGTCTAAAATATTATATGAACATTGTTGAAGCGAATTATCATCAGCAAACAATCTACACATGGACATCATATTTTCAGCAACATCATTTACATATATCAGAAATAAAAGTGGCCCCAATACAGAGCCCTGTGGTACACCTGCATATAAATCAAGTTTCGAAGAGAACAAATCCTTATACATTACTTTTTGTGACCTATGACTTAGATAACTAGAAAACCACTGGAGGATATCTCCGGATAAACCATAAGTTTGTAATTTAAAAATGAGACCCTTGTGCCATACTCTATCAAATGCTTTAGACAAATCACAAAAAACCATACAACATACTTTTCCTTCATCAATATTTTGTACAATACTATGATATGTTTCTAGTAATTGATACACAGTAGAATGTCCGGGTAAAAAACCGGCTTGATATCGATAAAACAGATTATTACCGTGAAAGTAATTGTATACATGTTTAAAAATAATTCTTTCCATAATTTTACTAACACAGGATAGCAGCGACACAGGTCTATAATTTGAAACCAAAGAGGGGTCATCCTTTTTAAAAAGAGGAATAACATGAGCTATTTTCCAGAAAGATGGGAATATTCTATCTGACAGGGACCTGTTGTATAACATAGTGAGTGGTTTAACAACAGACTGAAGAGTAGATTTTAACATTTTATGACTTATACAGTCGGGACCTATAGCTTTGTTCACGGGAAGTATTGAAATAATGTCTGATACTTCGTGTTCTTCAATTGATATTTTACAAAATGTGCTACTACATAGACTGTACATGTTTGGTAGTGTTTCGTTTGTATCATCAATAGTAGAAATAGATGAAAAATAAGAATTTAAGGCTTCAATTTTGTCTAAGTCAGAGTAAGCCAACTTTTTACCACCTTTATCATTATATATTTCAATAGGTGGTATCTCGTTAGATAGTTTAATGTTGAATGAATCCTTCATCAATTTCCAGTAAAGTTTATTATTATTCTTACTTGAGTCCTCTAAATATGTTTCAATATTGTCGTAATAATTAGCCATAGCATGTTTCTTCATATTGTTAACCGAATTCCGTACCTTTCTATATTCAGACCGATCAGATTCTCTTTTAGTTTTATGTGCTTTTTTATGAAGACGGTCTCTAGTTCTAATTGTTTTCCTTAATAAAGAATCGAACCATGGTTTGTCACGAGGGCGGATTGTGATTGTTTGTTCCGGTACGCATTCTCGAACACAAGTGAGAAATTCAGATGTGAAATTTTCAGTGGCCAAATCTATGGTATCAGCTTCATTGATGATTTTATCCCAATTACAGTTTTCTATCAAAGTATTTAATTTACCAAAGTCCGCATTTTTATAGGCCCACACTTTTCTTTTGTAAGAGCGATTGTAGTTTATATTAGAGAAAAGCGAGATAAAAGTAGCTCTATGATCACTTATAGATGATTCCATTACTAACGTGCCCGATTCGCATACTTGAATATCAACAGAAGAAAAAATTGGGTCAAGCAGCGTGCTCGACGTGTTCGTAGTTCTTGTAGGTTCATGGATATTGTTAACTAAATTGTGTGTTGCGATTATTTCACGGATGATATGTGTTTGTG